TCGCTGTGAAGAGGTGTATCGACCACATCCCATAGCCCAAAGACCGTGAGTTCGAATCCTCGATTAAACCTGATTATTAATTAAAAGGTATTTCATTGGCTTTTAGACGCTGGGTGTTCTCAGAGACACGCAATGTATGGATTGACAGTTCTCTTTACACAAACTTTCGACGGTTCCCCATGTCCCTTCATCAGGGCATGAACACACAACGGGTAATGTTCAGATATATACAATAACAGCGACAAACCCCTTTCCATATTTATAAGAAATGTCTGTTAAACAAAAGGGTTTTATGAGCATCTGAGTAGTCATTGTGTACTGTTCACATTATATAACCACATGCGTGAGTAGCATGCTACCAACAATCACGCATTATCTCATTTCAGAATGAATACTGATACTCTTAAGAAACTGCTCGGTCGATATATCTTCCGTTGTACACAAAAAACGAGAAAACCCTTTCCATATTCAAAAGGAATCGTTGCCAAAAACTGAGTCAATTACGATTCCGACTATATCATTCGCATGTGTTCATGAATCACTATCAAGTAGCGATGATACCAGGTGTTCGCGAAAGGGTGAGCGTACCCTGTTCCACGGGATATACCCGTTACAAACACATGCAAGGCAAGTCAATTGTTCACCTGAAACGACACGGATGCATATGGTACAGGTCAAAATAGGGAATGACACTAAACCAGCCTATATTTGTATGTGGTAACAATTGGCGAGCCTCATCCACCAAACATAATTTTTCATTTTAACTATCAAACCATCGCGATGGTGTATTAACATCATGTACGGGTGCCAGTGTATTTCAACTACACAAATAGGCTGACAGTGTAACCTGATGAAGGAGTCAGCATATACTCCGAAACTTTGTGTTCCTCATAATAAAGAAGTTGACATCTATAGATGCTCTTCCTTATGTGTATCGACCCGTGAAGATCCGGACTAGAATAGGTCTTCAGCAACCCACGCTTGCCGTAAAAGGAGACCATGCTTGTCGTACCCAACATTGGTGCAATGTGTGAAGCGTATTCCTAGGGTACCACTCCATATTATGACTGTAATATCAATAAAAGAGGCCTCAATGTCATCCATTCACTTACGCTCTCTGTCACTCACTTTCAACCACTCACAATATTCTAACTGCGAATGTGCTACGAGTTACAGCAATCATTGCAGACAACTTTAATTTGTAATTACATTTCGCACTCTAACACCCTTTCTGAACATTTTCATCACGATCTGTGCTACTCAGAAAATTCGTTCTTAGAATAACAGACTGATGTTGAGTTATGACTACGTGTATGTGCGTGCATGCCCGCGTCGTCAAAGTATTCTTCAATCTAGCTGCACATCGCCTCTGAAAACCACTGTTTTTTTATATTGAATGACATGGCTTGAAAATAGAATTGCGTCTAACTAAAACTTAAGTCGAACATAATCTTCAGCACTCCATGCTCGTCGTAAGAGGCGACTAACGGGATCGGGTGGTCAGGCTCGCTGACTTGGTTGATGCATGTCATCGATCCCAATTGCTCATGATATCAATCACTGGATTGTCTGGTCCAGACTCGATTATTTACAGACCGCCGTCATATAGCTGGAATGTTGCTGAGTGCAGCGCTAAACAGGATACCAAAATCAAACTATAAACCATCAAATGGAGACAAAGGATTGTTCTAAATCTACTGCAAATAAGGTGTAGCCTGGATTAAGCTTTGATTCACCACGCCGTAGACCCGGGTTTGAGTCTATTCCTGCGAAACAATGTCATAGGCTTTTTTCTGGTGGCTACTTCCGTAATGTGGCTAACATACTGCTAAAAGTGGCACATAAAAACACATTCACTTACTCACTCATTTAATTTGGGAACTACACTTTATATGTAAGTCCAAGTTATTCTTTTGATTTCCAGTGGTCCATTCATATAATTGGCGTTACTATTTTGCTTTTTACACCCAATGGAAGTATCCGCAGATAATCGAGACTGATTATTCTCTGACGTGGACGTTATATATTTAAGAACGTGTTGATGTCACAAACATGCACAAGTGACATGAACACCTGGAGCCACATATCAGTCTGTCCATAATTGTTTAAGAAATATAAATACATGTAAATAGATAGGAGATGATATTACTCAATATGTTAAATGTATGAAAGTTTATATAAACTGCAACGGTAACTAAAAGACGATTTGATGATACAAGGCATTTTGTCCTGGCCACGGCATAAACACTTCTCAACAATAGTGTAAACTGAAACGTTTGTAGTCTTTGTATGACAGGAAGCACCACAGGGTGAATGTCTGAACATCAAACAAGTACTCTCATTATGACCTGTCTGTGCATGTCATGTCCAGCATGTGATTTTCCTGTGCGAGTTGTTTGGAGTTGATGGACTGTATTAAAAAAACGTATATGCAATTCACAATGTCGTCGAATGCATCAACTTCACTACAACTTGAGAGTCCCTGCGAACCTTGTTATCACTTGAATGTTCTTGTTGCTGCATTTTTAACATGACGACAAGCAGTGGAGGTGTTCGAGTGAACAAAGGTATTCACGTGTTTCGTCAATATTCGAAACAACCATGAATGTGGATCGATTGTTCAGTACGGAATAGATTATAAGTCATCGTTTGATTTCGTTGATTGATATACATCATTGTCTCGCGAGAGTTTTGATATTAAATGTTGTCCAGTGAGAAAAGTGTACGATGTAAGAAGGTTTGTTGTCTGAACTTTCCACTTATGAATTGTCGTTTCGTTTACATACTTGGCTGTCGATCTGTATATAGGGGCTTCTGTCAATTTGTACCTCTGGCCATCACTTACTACCGGTGTCATGTACAAGCATCTGATGACCCATGAATGTAATCTGACATGGATGACACATAGACGTTTCAGCACAACCATCAACCTTTAATAGTCATTCTGACATCTGGCTGTATTTTAGCACAATCATTGTACACTGGAGACTGATACACCGATCCCCATTCTGATCTCCTGATCCGGATTCTGTTTGATTATAAATCTCCGTTTTGGGAACATACGCCATATTCAGGTATATTTACATCATAATAGTAAATGAACTTAACTTTTGTCCTGTCAGGTTTATGTTAAAAACATCTTTCGTTTATCACACATTAGGACTCGATCAAACAATCTCCAAATCCTGACACGGCAAGGGAATGTAATACTGTTCGGTGGTTAATGTTTTCGTTCCTGAGTATATGCACACATTACATGTAACTTGTACGCGATATCTGGATGACAATAATCTCCAAAATCCCGAAACGATAAGGGGAGTTAATACTGCACGGCAGTGTACGGAGCCTGAAACCGCTAGACCTTTTCGTAACTATACGTATGAATTAATGCTACCAGATGAATGTCCGTATAGGGTTTCTCAAAAAGATAATACCTTGTTAATAAGTGCAAACCTGCTTAGCTAATTGAGGCCTTTACGACTCCTGGCGATCCCCATTGCCAGGACTGAACAACCTCGCTGTCATGGCTACACCCATATCATACAAGGGTAACATTAGAAATCAGGCGCAGCTGAATGTACAATGTACGTTCGCGCCAATGTTTGTTTCTGTCTCTTTAATAATGGTAAACAAAAATGGAAACGTCAATATCAGACAACACGTTTCTCGTATGGCCATTTCACTTGTTCATGGGTGAGTGAGTAAGTTTATGCTTTACGTCACATCGGCAATATTTCAGCCATACCGTGACGATACTTCATGAATATGGCTCTATCAGGTGTGTTCATGCTGTAGATATACAGCTTTGCCGTGTACCTCCAATTGTTGTTCGGCGTGTTCAAGAGCCAGGTAGCTGTTTTATTCCCATATAACACTTTCATTTACTGTCGTTTTTACTCTCTCGCTCTTCTCTAAGCGGCTAAACACTCACCTCACTCCCACATTGTTGATCCATACATTGTATTAAACGGCACATTATCAATTATATACTTTGTGTGTATATTGAATAAGTTATTACCTCAAATTAAGGCTCAAAGCCAACGACGTTCAGCTGACGCGAACCAGAGCTGGGCTTACCCATATCCATGATAGTCATTCCTATAGTGAGATTCAGTGGCTTTTACTGAAATACGGATATTGTTTGGTTAACATAAGGCACATATTATTGTTTATTCGACATCGAAAGGAGAAGCATTAAACATTATCTGTTTGATGGGAATTGACCAGAAAGGTTAATCATGAATTGGTCATATATTTTAAGATATGCATTATTCGGCATGATAAAACATTTTGAGATATGCATTATTCATGAGCTGTAAAGTTGACGAATATAGCATTACCTTGAGGCGATCTATTTTGTTATATTCCTGAACTAGATAATGATGACGATAGTAACGGTATCGTGTTGGATTTTCTCCTGATTACAGATGATTTGAAGACGAAGGTAGAAGTTTGAAAACAGATATAATTAGGTTGAAACAGATGTCCGGCTGAAACGGCATGACATCACTTACATACTGTTGCAGACAGCGTTATACCCAACTCTCTAACTCACTTACTTGAACAAATCACCGAATGAAATCAATCAGTGATCAATCAAACAAATCCAAGTCCGTCCACTCGTTTATTCAATTTATAAACTGTAAGTAGGTGATCACAAATAGTTCAATACATATATGATCCGTATCACCAATAGTTGACATTGCTTATAATGCATATCTAAATAACATGTTTATATTATTTAGATCACCATACATCAGATGCATACACATCCGGCCCAAACGCTCACTCACCAACAAGTCACTCTGCTTTCTATATTCTCACAGCATTCAGTAGTTTCTAAATAGTATTTTAAGTACAACATATAAAATTCTCACAGCATTCAGTAGTTTCTAAATAGTATTTTAAGTACAACATATCAATCATTAAGTCAAAGTGTCCCAATATAATCATCAGTTAAATGCGAAATAACGTTTTAAATTTTCTATTACCTGCTTAAATTTAAAAATTAAATAAGAAACAAAGCATCACTTATTCATCTAACTGAAAGATGTCCGGAAGAGTGATCTTGATTGTGACAGTGATCTCATACTATCATGTCCTGTTTTACAGATGGCGACGTCGTGGGCTGAAAAAGTGATGGAATTCCTCACCTGTGTGATCTGCCAGGAACTGTACACAGACCCTTGTACACTGAGGTGTGATCACACATTCTGCAGGAAATGTGTCACAGGATACATCCAAACGAGACCAGATGCTGTACAGTCCAAGACGATCCCCTGTCCCTGCTGTCGACAAGATACCAAAGTCCCCCATCCCAGCCGACCAGTGGAGGAGTGGGCGGAGCAGGTCAAACCCAGCATCATTATACAGGGGCTGATTGACACACAAGCTGGACCTTCTACTGAAGGTAAATACAAGCGACAAAATCCTTTCCATATTCATAAGGAATCTCTGCCAAAAGCAGAGTCGATTTACGATTCCGTCTATATCATCAGCGTGTGTTTATGAATCACCATTACATAGTGATGATACCAGGTGTTCGGGAAAAGGTGAGCCGCACCGATGGCACCAGACACAAACACATGCAAAGGCAAGTTAATTGTTCAAATGAAAAAAAAATGGCAACATAAGTCAAATCAAATTGGGAAATGTCCTCCACATATCTACTTCAACACCTTTTGAAAGCTTTATTGAGGCCTTGAATGTTGTAACCTTGATCAACTTCTGAGCAAACAATTGGTACCATAGGCATGCCTACCTCTTGCTGATATGTCTAACCGCCAGATTTTACAAAGATATTATCAATGAGTTACGTGCAGCGCCAGAAAATGTATGTATGCATTTAAAAATATAATTGTATATAAAAGTCATTGTGCAATATGTTTTTATGTATAGGTTTATGGACACGTTGTCAAAAAGATCTTATTTTCATTCTCAGGCACTACTACCAGGTGCTGCACGTTATGTGGGCAGCCAGGGGAGACAACTCAAGGGACCTCCTGGTGTCCGGACTGTGAAGTTAACCTCTGTGGAAGATGTGTCAAGATTCATCGTGCTTGTCCCTTATCTCGTGACCATGAACTATGCGACCTGTCTGGAGAGGTAAAGGTTAAACAGAGACGCAAGATCATGTGTCAAGAGCACAAACACAAGAAAGTAAAATATATCTGTAAAGACTGTAACAAGTCACTGTGTCAGTCATGCTGCGTGGTCTACCACAGGAAATGTGACTCTGTCGTCACAATCAATTCACAAGTAGAAAAAATGAAGTCAGAGGTGACTCTGAAAAGAAATATATTGCAGACTAAATATAATGGCAAAGGTAAAAGGATAGAGAGACATACGTTGACATTAGATCAAATTAAAGACAATAAATTGGCCAATAAAGAACAAATCCATCTTAACACCAATAAAATGATACAGCACATCAGGCTGAAGGAACAAAAGCTGTCGGATGAACTGGATGAAATAACAGACAAACAAGTCATTCAGACTCATGCTGATATAAAGCTTGAAGAGATTGAGATGCAGATGTACAAACAACATTGTGAGTTCATTGACCAGGCCTTGGTATCGGACTGTGAGATGGACCTGTATGAAGCGTATCAGGCCTGGGAGTCGGGGGCTGTTGAGTTTGGGGACGTCAGGCACACAGACACTGCAGACACACGGCGAATAGATGACATCAGGTTTACACCTGATACTGACAACGTCCAGCACATCCTAGATGACCTACAACTTGGGAAGATTGACGTCACATATGGAGATGGACTGAAGTGTTCACCAGTGTTGTTCCACACACTTGATGCGACCTCAGAGGATGACGAGGGGATACCTAGTATGCCTGGCGTCACAGAGCTTTATGTAGATGGCATACAGACAATTGTTGTTACAGACTACACCAACAAGTGTGTGAAATCTTTCTACAACAGAAACGATCAACCATGTCAAAGTAGACTTCCCCTGGATGACTCTCCATTTGGTCTAACACGGTTGACGGAGAAAGAGGTGATAGTTGCTGTCCCTGGCTCACGGAAGATTCTAACAGTAGAGGTGTCCCCGGACCTGGTACTGAACTCAACCATCACAACAAGCAAGGGTTACGCCAGTCTCGCTGTTCTGGGTCCTTCATTTCTGGCAGCAAGTACTTGGGACTGTCTTGATATCCTGGACATGACAGGACAAGTGCTGAGGTCAATCACTACACACAACAACGAGACACTGTTTGCCTACCCCGCCTATATGTGTGTCAACAACAAGGGCAACATACTCGTGTCTGACTGCTGCAAGAAGTCTGTGACATGTTTGACGTCAGATGGGGATGCCGTGTGGAGATACGCCCCTTACGGAGATAGGGCTCTCCGTAAGCCTACTGGTATCTTAACAACCAACACAGGAGATATCATGTTTGTAGACAAGATCGCCGTGACTATTATACAGCTAACCGAGACAGGGGAATGTGTCAGCGATGTCCTCACATCACAGGATGGCATCAATCAGCCAATTAGTCTGTGCATTGACAAACATGACTCTGTTCTTGTAACTGGTGGAGGGGATATCAAGACATTTATTTTCACATAGAATGTGAATGTATATTGATGAAGGGCTTTGTCGGATTGAGTTCTCACATCTCGGGATGATGTGTGAGGATGAAAGGGAGGGGATGACGGGGAAGGAACACATGTATTAAGATGCACATTGTTAAGTCTCAGCTGCATATGGGCGGCCTGTGTGACCCCATATGGAACTTGAACGACATACGAATAAGAGTAGACACGGGTGACCAAGTGGCATTACTATTTGCTGTGAAGAGTTGCGTCCCTTCTCCCAGCTTCTCATGTGCATTAGGCCCAAATCACTTGTAACAATAAAATGTTTTGCAATTATTAATTCATTTTCGAAGCGTAAATCATTACTGTGAGAGGGGTTCTGTTATTCGAAGGTCATGTTTACATGTAAGAGTTGAGATAATATATTAAATATATGATGAGTATTAAATGTTTACATTTCCTATCAATAATTTGCTGTTGTGTTTGTCAGTTTTGATTCATATATATTTAGAGATGTTCTTGTAGACAGATAAAAGCACAATGATTGCCAAATGAACAACAGATCCTCTTGTACATACATCTGAATCATGGAGTGAGTGAGTGAGTCAGTGACTATGGTTTTACGCTGCTTTTAGCAATATTCCAGCAATATCATGGCGGGGGACACCAGAAATTGGCTTCACACATTGTACCCATGTCGGCAATCGAATGAGAACGAGAGAACGCTTTAACCACTTGGCTACCCTACCGCCCCTCTGAATCATGGAAATCACTTAACCACTTGTATGTGAAAGTTGGTGTACATCCTTTGTTGTTGCAGTGCTGTGTTAGGATGGCTACACGTATTGTCAATTTGTTCCCGCGATACAGGATTCATGTTTTTACGGCACAGTTGAAGGTGTCCACAATGGCAGTGTTGGACTTCTGCTGTAATACAGGTAATAGGAAACGAATACTAATCTACGACATCTGCCCCAAATCGATTTACCACTTCATCAGATGGATACAAAACGAGAACTGTTCTTCAGACATACACCAGTAGGTAGCTGAGGCCAAAATTAGGGAGAACCGCCTCCGTGGTCTAGTGGTAGAGCGACTGCTAAGAGAGCGGAAGGTCCGGGGTTTGATCCCCGGCCGAGCCATTCCAAAAGACGTGAAAAGATGATACTTGATGTTACCCTGCCTGGCGCTCGACTTTTAGGGGCTAAAGATATGACAGTTAGCTCGGAGTCAGTAAACTGTGTTGGAGTGGGGCGTTCATGTTAAAATGCAGCATGGTACCTCAGTGAGATAGCACTATGAAATCGGCATTAGTCCAGACTAGTACATTCAAGCAGCCACACACACACATACGTGCACGCACTTCGCTATGTAGTGCAATGATCGTGGACGCGACTGTTAACCCCATTTCATCTCATTTCACCATTTAGGGAGCACAGTGAGTGAGTGAGTGAGTTGGGTTTAACGCCGCTTTTAACAGTATTCCATTTATATCACGGCGTGTCAGCTTAATGTGGGAGGAAAGCCCCAAGTGATGCGGGTCTCAGACGTTTACCCACGAGCACGGGTATGGTACTGACAAACCTAGAAACATAATCGGGGCGAACCGGGATTCGAACCCACAATCATAGGTTTCTGGCGTGCCCAAGGGACACAACTCTGCACAGCGAATCGCGGCGCCTTAGACGACTGGGTCACCCGTGCCCCCTAGGGAGAACAGAATGGACTAATAACATGTTGAAGTCCTCACCTTTCAGATCATCTAACTTTGTTTGGCAGCACCACGGTAAACGTCTAAGTCCTGTTTCACTTTGTGTTTACACTCCACGTCAAGCTGAGTCATCATGATATAACTGCAATAGGGATTAGAGCGCTGTAAAATCCTAGATGACCTATAACTTGGGAAGAAAACACATTAATATATAGACCTCCGATTATATTATTGAATGCAGGAGGTTTACTGTACAAGGTGCAGCCCTTGTTTATGCTTCAGTGATTTGAAAACTGCTTACACAACATACCGAGCGCCACTACCAATAATATAAGATGCAAGATGTATATAGAAATATGGACAGTAAATCTGAAGAAACCGAACAGTGTTTTAACTATTCCTTTCCGATATAGTGAATGTGGTCAACTGTTTTAATAAGAAAATTACTTAACCTGTACTTCACCGTTGAAATACATATCCAGACCCGTCCTTTCACACAACGTTTTTTGCAATAGGGAGCATGATTAAACGAATTAAAATTATTAATCAATTCTAATCAGTTGACAAACATAATTACTATAAATATGTGTGTTCGTCCCTCAACCCTAATCACACTACAGGATTATAAAGCGTTCTAACACAAACATACATGTATGCAAAGGGCCCTGGGCCTGAAGTGAAAAAAGTCATTTGGTGACAATCTCCAGCATGAAACAGTGCAGAGAGAATAAACCAGGAATAAACGACATAATCCCTCGTTTATTTTTTCTCCTTGCAGTGTTTATTGTATGACAAACAACACCGACTCGTCGTTTATTTCTTAAATATTGCAATGTGTCGATATCGCTACCGCCTATGGCAATCGGCCCTGATTCGATCCAAGGACCTACGTGGTCGTCAGCACTGATACTTCATCAATCACCGCAAGTCTAGGTTTTGTAGTTACCTCCCTTGTATGTTATGCGGAAGAGGCAGGAAGTACCCAGGTGTGTGCCTCGGCGGGAGTTGGTTATTTCAAGACTTCAAGGAAACAAATTGAAGCTGACAGTGTACATGATAAAGGATTATTAAATTCGTCAACTAGCAATATACAGTATCAACTTGTATACGGTTTGTGTCTTAAATACTTATTTTGTCTTGTGAAAAAGCCCATTCATGACCCTTTATACTTAGAGAAACCGACAAAAGGACTTGTAGAGCGAGATTCTGTTTCGTATTCTGAGACACAAAGTATGTTCATACACTTTATGTCTTTCTGTTTAACTGTCTTACTGTTTTGAGTTAGTTTTACAGCTGTCTAACACATTATAGTTTATTATTTCAGGTGAACGAAGTTGTTCGTCCTTCATGAAATATTGCCGCAATAAAAGCATGTATCTTTGCCCACGACACTAACCTTCACGGTTACCTCCCTTGTATCATGACAGTGCGAGCATTGTCTGTTACTCAGGGACATTGGACTGTGTTGGCAAGATTTAAAATGTAGCTTTTAACAATAATTGGACGTTCTGTTGAAACAATGTAGTCCATACATACACTACCTGGATGGCCATTTCGGCGCCTCCTCTAATTGGAATATGGGCTGGATGTGATATAAGCAGTGTAACACCGTCTCTACCGTCTCTACAACAATATACACTGCTATCAATTTCTCTATTTAGGTACACTTTGTGTGTACACCTATCTTGCATAGGTACTGGTTATCAATTTTAAACACACAGTGCCAGTATGTTAATGTTTCAGCAGCAGCTATGTGCATACATGTACATTGTATCTCCCTTCATGGTTTTCTATTGGAAACTCTCACACCATACTTCCAGTAGTTTTATACTGTTATTTTAGGTGTACAATATTAATCTGTAAATAAATGTGTCCAAATAAATCGAGAGTTAAATGCTAAAATCGTATTAGCTTTTAATTGTCATTGTTATAATTCGAGCTGAGCAACTAAAGGATCTCCTGAAAATGTAAAAAGTGATTCAGCTAGATCTCATATTGTCATGTTTTGTTTTACAGATGGCGACGTCACGAGCTGAGAAAGTGACGGAATTTCTCACCTGTGTGATCTGCCAGGAACTGTACACAGACCCCTGTACACTAAGGTGTGATCACACATTCTGCAGGAAATGTGTCACAGGATACATCCAAATCAGACGAGATGCTGTACAGTCTAAGACGATCCCCTGTCCCTGCTGTCGACAAGATACCAAGGTCCCCGACCCCAGCCGGCCAGTGGAGGAATGGGCGGGGCAGATTAAACCCAGCATCATTATACAGGGGCTGATTGACACACAAGCTGGACCTTCTACTGAAGGTAAATGCAAGCGACAAAATCCTTTCCATATTCATAAGGAATCTCTGCCAAAAGCAGAGTCGATTGTACGATTCTGACTATATCGTGAGCATGAGTTTATGAATCACCATTACATAGTGATGATACCAGGTGTTCGCGAAAAGGTGAGCCGCACTGGTGGCACCCGACACAAACACATGCAAAGGCATACACTGCTTACATCCAAACCAGACCACATGCTGTTCGGTCCAAGACAATCCCCTGCGTCTTCTGTCGACAAGATACCAAGGTGCCCGACCCCAGCAGGCCAGGGAGGAGTGGGCGGGGCAGGTCAAACCCAGCATCATTATACAGGGGCTTATTGACACACAAGCAGAAAATATTTTTGAAGGTTAGACACACCCGCAATTTAACATAAGTTTTAAGGCTGCGAACTCCACAATGCAACAACATCATACTTGTTTTAGCTTTTGTGTACATGTGTTATATGGATGTATTTGTTAAAGAATGAAAATACAGTTACTATGTTAGATACATGTTATTGGTATTGTCATCACTAACTGCCTACGCAAGTCTTCATGTTTTCCCACGCCCAATTGGGGGTTTGTTTTTGCTGTTTAACGCCACACTCAGCAATATTCCAGCTGTATGACGTCGGTCTGTAATAAATCGAGTCTGTACCACACAATCCAGTGAGTGATATCATGAGCATCAATCCACGCAATTGGGATGCAATGACATGCATCAAGCTAATCAGCAAGTCTGACCACCAGATCCCCTTAGTCACCTCTTACGACAAGCCTGGGTTGCTGAAGACCTATTATGCTACCCTGGATCTTCACGGGTCCCCACGCCAAGTAACGATATCTATTGGACTACCAATAATGGCTAACACTGATAAGCGTCGTTTGTTCCCTCACGCTAGGTACACCCAACCAATACATTACATTTTATATGGTTGGTGTACTTCTAAGCTCTGTGATAGTGAGTTCGAATTCCAGATGAAGGTGTTTCTATTTACATTCATATATGTGTACAAATTATGCCCAATTGTTTCTTTTACAGACACGGGTGCTAAATGCTGCACATTATGTGGCCAGCTATGGGAGACAACTC